CTTTCTCGAGTTGGATATCTCGGTTGTTCTTCAGCTTGAGAACCCGGTTCATCATTCTCATCCTGAATCTCAACATCAACTCGGACCTCATCATCAGCTTGTTGTTGGTCATCAATTTCTTCATTCTCTTGATTTTCTCCCCCTGCTTCAGCTCGGACAGGAGGAACGGGTTCTTCACGTCTGACAGTAACCCGGACTTTGGGCTTCGAGATGTCATGAATGGTCTCATCTTCATGAAAGTTCACATCTCAACTTCTCACTATCTTCTTATTGATTGGATCCCAAAATCGAAACCCGGACTCACATCTCGACGAACCAAGATAAATGCATTCTTTAGTCTTCGCATCAAGTTTAGCCCTTTCATCTTTAGGGATATGCACGAAAGCTCGACATCAAAATACCTTCAATTGATTATAGGCCGCTTTTCGACCTGTCCAGACTTCTTCTAGAATTTCTCCTTCAAGTGGCTGTGATGGTGAGAGGTTGATCAAGTCAATAGCAGTTCTAACGGCTTCTCCCCAGAATGATTTCGACAATCCGGCATTGGATAGCATACTTCGAACCTTCTCTTCAATAGTCATGTTCATCCTCTCAGCAAGTCCATTCAACTGTGGAGTCTTGGGGGGGCGTCTTCTCAAGTCGGATCCCGGCCGCTCTGCAGTATGCATCAAAAGGGCTGCAATACTCACCACCATTGTCAGGTCGGACCACCTTCAATTTCTTGCCAGTCTCCCTTTCAACCATTGCATGGAATTCTTTAAAGGATTGAAGTACCTGGTCTTTAGACTTCAACAAATATACCCACACTTTGCGGGAATGGTCATTAATAAATGAAAAACAAAATACTGAGATCGTCCTAGAGATCTCTCCGACATGGAGCAAACATCAGTATGGACGAGGTCAAAAATATACCTGCGTCCTCTGGGTTGATCTGGTCTCACAAATGAAACTCGGTGCTGCTTTCCAGCTAGGTAGCGCGTGCAACTCTTCAACGCTTGGCCTTTCAACCAGGTCAGTAATCCTTTCTTATGCAGGATCTGGAACCCTTTCTCCCTCATGTGGCTGAGGCACTTGTGCCATAGCTCCAAGCTAGGTCCATCTCGGATAGAATTGGCTTCTCCACCATTGATCTTTCCTTGCATCACGTACAATGAGCCTTCCTTCTTACCTCGGGAAACGACCAAGTTTCCCTTGGCCAGCTTCCATCTAACACTACCGAAGTAGTTCACTAACCCGACATCGTCAAGCTTGCCTACCGAGATTAGATTCAATCACATATCAGACACATGCCTTACATCTTACAACACAAGTTGGCACCCAACATCTGTGGTCAGGGTCACATCACCGACACCAACAATCTTGCTGGTCACTTGATTTCCCATCTTCACGACTCCAAAATCACCACCTCGATAAGAGGAGAAAAAACCTTTGTGTGGAGTAACGTGGAAGGAGGCACCAAAGTCAACAATCCAGGTGCAGTCATCATATACAACATTCAAATAATTATCCTCACCAAGGAGGAATATCTCAGCATTGGAGTTGGCAGCCAACGCAGTGGTGCTTTTGTCTCCCATCTTCTTGGGAATAATCTGATCCGGCTTCACAGAGCCATTCTTCTCATCATTTTGCATGGTCCAGCAGTCTGACTTTTTATGTCCTGTCTTCCCACAATAAAAGCACCTCAACTCATATTTCGGCTTTGACTGACCTCTGGACTTTCCTCTTCTGTCATGATCTCGACCCCAGCTTTTTCTTCTACCCCGAGAGTCGGATTTTCCTTTGTTCTCAGCAATGTTGGCCTAACACGTGCTTGAAACTCCTCGTTCTCTTCTCATGCTTCTTCGTTCAGGAGGCTGTCAGTCATGACATCCATCTTCAATTTTCCATTTGGAGTCGAATTACTCAAAGTCACCACCAGAGTATCCCATCTTTCTAGCAGCGAGCTCAACAACAGAAAATTCTGCATCTCGTCATCAATTTTCATCTCAGCCTTTGACAGCTGATTCACAATACCTTCACATTGGAATTGATCATCTCATCTAATGAGTCAGCTGATTTAAAATTTTGAATTTTGAAAAGGAATCACTCACCTGTTTCAATGACTCAGCTGTTTTTACATTGAAATTATTAAATATTTTAAAATACAAAAAAAAGCGGACAATTAATTTTTTATTCAATTAATTTTTTCGATTTTTCTTTTAAAAATCAAAAATCAATTTTAATTTCTAATAATTTAAAACAAATGTGGTGACAGACAAATCATTTAATGCGCCGCATACCTTCACATTGGAATTGGTCATCTCTTTTAATGAGTCAGCTGATTTAAAATTTCTAATAATTTAAAACAAATGAGGTGCCAGACAAAGCATTTAATGCGCCACTTACCTTCACATTGGAATTGGTCATCTCATCTAATGAGTCAGCTGATTTAAAATTTTGAATTTTGAAATATAATCACTCACCTATTTTAATGACTCAGCTATTTTTACATTGGAATTATTAAATATTTTAAAATACGAAAAAAACGGAAAATTAATTTTTTATTGAATTAATTTTTTCGATTTTTCTTTTAAAAATCGAAAATCAATTTTAATTTCTAATAATTTAAAACAAATGTGGTAGCAGTCAAATCATTTAATGCACCGCATACCTTCACATTGGAATTGGTCATCTCATTTAATGAGTCAAATGATTTAAAATTTCTAATAATTTAAAACAAATGAGGTGACAGACAAAACATTTAATGCGCCACTTACCTTCACATTTGAATTGATCATCTCATTTAATGAGTCAGCTGATTTAAAATTTTGAATTTTGAAATGGAATCACTTTCCTGTTTCAATGACTCAGCTGTTTTTACATTGAAATTATTAAATATTTTAAAATAAAAAAAAACGGACAATTAATTTTTTATTCAATTAATTTTTTTCGATTTTTTTTAAAAAAATCAAAAATCAATTTTAATTTCTAATAATTTAAAACAAATGTGGTGGCAGACAAATCATTTAATGCGCCGCATACCTTCACATTGGAATTGGTCATCACTTTTAATGAGTCAGCTGATTTAAAATTTCTAATAATTTAAAACAAATGAGGTGCCAGACAAAGCATTTAATGCGCCACTTACCTTCACATTGGAATTTGTCATCTCATCTAATGAGTCAGTTGATTTAAAATTTTGAATTTTGAAATATAATCACTCACCTATTTTAATGACTCAGCTATTTTTACATTGGAATTATTAAATATTTTAAATATTTTTTTAAAATACGAAAAAAAACGGAAAATTAATTTTTTATTCAATTAATTTTTTCAATTTTTCTTTTAAAAATCGAAAATCAATTTTAATTTCTAATAATTTAAAACAAATGTGGTAGCAGACAAATCATTTAATGCGCCACTTAGCTTCACATTGGAATTGGTCATCTCATCTAATGAGTCAGCTGATTTAAAATTTTGAACTTTGAAATGGAATCACTCATCTGTTTTAATGACTCAGCTGTTTTTACATTGGAATTATTAAATATTTTAAAATACAAAAAAAAACGGACAATTAATTTTTTATTCAATTAATTTTTTTGATTTTTCTTTTAAAAATCAAAAATCAATTTTAATTTCTAACAATTTAAAACAAATGTGGTGGCAGACAAAGCATTTAATGTGCCACTTACTTTCACATTGAAATTGATCATCTCATTTAATGAGTCAACTGATTTAAAATTTCTAATAATTTAAAACAAATGAGGTGGCAGACAAAACATTTAATGCGCCACTTACCTTGACATTGGAATTGGTCATCTCATCTAATGAGTCAGCTGATTTAAAATTTTGAATTTTGAAATGGAATCACTCACCTGTTTTAATGATTCATCTGTTTTTACATTGGAATTATTAAATATTTTAAATATTTTAAAATACGAAAAAAACGAAAATTAGTTTTTTATTCAATTAAGTTGTGGTGTAAAATTTTGAATTTTGAAATGGAATGACTCACCTGTTTTAATGACTCAGCTGTTTTTACATTGGAATTATTAAATATTTTTAAATACGGAAAAAATGGAAAATTAATTTTTTATTCAATTAATTTTTTCGATTTATCTTTTAAAAATTGGAAATCAATTTTAATTTCTAATAATTTAAGACAAATGAGGTGGCAGACAAAGCATTTAATGCGCCACATACCTTCACATTGAAATTAGTCATCTCATTTAATGAGTCAGTTGATTTAAAATTTCTAATAATTTAAGACAAATGAGGTGGTAGACAAAACATTTAATGCGCCACTTACCTTCACATTGGAATTGGTCATCTCATCTAATGAGTCAGCTGACACTCACCTGTTTTAATGTTTAAGCTTTTTTTACATTGGAATTATTAAATATTTTAAATATTATAAATTAATTTTTTATTCAGTTACTTTTAAGTTTTTTTTTGCAAACTTTGGTAAAAATGAAGAAGCGAAGTTGATATCAAAATATTAAAAAACAAATATTAAGGCCTTGGTACACTGTCAAAGTTCAAAACACATGATAATAGGCCACAGAATAAGAAAAATGTCAATAGCTCCTCGTTACAAAAAATCGACCAATCTACCGCTTTTATTGGCATTTATTAATTTGTTTAAAAATTTAAAAGTCCAACACACTAATTCGAAATTCATGGGAGCATTAAAAATAACTTCAAACGGAACTTCAAGCAATTACTAATAATGAAATTAATTGTTAACAATTGGTATAATGGGGAATTTCAAATGACATCCCTAAAACTGAAACACGTCGTACTAAAGAAATTCACACGTCGTACTAAAGTTGATAACAAAATATTAAAAGAAATTTTTTTTGCAAACTTTGTTAAAAATGAAGAAGCGAAGTTGATATCAAAATATTTAAAAACAAATATTAAGGCCTTGGTACACTGTCAAAGTTCAACACATGATAATAGACAACAGAATAAGGAAAATGTCAATAGCTCCTCGTTACAAAAAATCGACCAAAGCATAGTTACAGATTTTCTTTCTGCTCCAAAGTGTCACCGGCTGCAGCATCAAAACCGTGTCAAAATAAACAAAAAGGCACACAGAGTGAGAGGGATGAAATTATAAAACTCGTAAACTTTATAATATCTATAGTCAGAACTTAACTCTTTCTTCAACTTTATTTTTTTAAGAGGACGGACAACTGAACAATTATTTTTATCTTCAACAACATCACCATACTTCACAGACGGTGACAACAAAGTGAGAGAAATATCAGCATCATCAGTACTATCACAGGTTTGGCTCTGAACATCCTGTCAACAAAATGACTCTGACCGCTATTAATATAAGGATACGGCAATCAAATTTTCCAATTATGTCAATAATACCAACTCACCACAGCTTTTCCTGACCCTATCGACATAATATTATCATCAGGAGGACTGTCAAATACAGAATCATCCTGAAATGTTTTTTCCATAAACGCAAAAAAGTCATAACTTTGAAAAGTATAGGTTATGAATAAAAATAAAAATAAAACAAACATTTGGGTCCACCGTGGTCTTCAGAAATGATGTGATAATACTTTCACTGATGCAAACTTTGGCCACATGATATTTTGGCTCACTGTATGAGTTCAAATTGCTAATTTTGACATTCACTTTAAACAACATAGATCTATCTTTAAGAACGTTCAACTCTTCCGGATAATGTTCTAAATCTACACCTTACAAAAAAAGAAACACAGCAAAAGAAGTACTAAGGGTGTTAAAAGTTTTGAGAACCTCACTAATAAAAAAATTCAAAGTTTTGAGAACCAAACCCGCTTAAAATGTTGCTCGCGCAATTCAGCAGCACTCACTCCTAATAAAGAAAGACAGTCTCTATCAAATAGTACGAAAGAAGCAGAATCTGTGTTATCAACAACTCTGACTTGAACACTGAACCTAAAAAAATAAAAAATTGAATTTTACATCAGTCACACAGTGTGCATGAATAATTTTTCGATAACAATGGCAAATCAAAAAATGGCTTACTTCGGAGTATATTCATTCCAATGTTTCTGACAGTTCTTACAATACCATTTCTCAAAATATTCGCACACTGAATATGGACATTTCTTACAGGACTTGTACCACCAGTTGTATTTACTTTCGATGGATTTTACAGTTCCATAAGTAATGCAAGTAGTAGCATCTATGCAATTCTTAATATCAGTAAGAAATTTCATCTCTGTATCCTTGAGAAAATCATTTTCATAAGAATATGAAGATGGGCTGGACAACTGAGTCAACATCTGACTACTTTCCATCAGATCATCGGAAAGCCTGGAATATAAAAATATATAAAAGAATGAGTGAATAGAGCAAAAGAAATGCCTCATAATTTCTCACGGTAGCCCACCTTTTTTTGAACTCTACGATCTCAGGTATATTGGAATCAAAAAGAATTTTCGTCGTATACTTTGTATTAGCTATTCCAATCTGTCCTGAAAAAAAAATGCTACGTAAATAAAAGAAAAAGTAAATCAGCAAATCAAAAAAATAAAAAAAAAATGAGAATTTTAATCACAAAAAAAAGTACCCCTAAAACCCTTTATCCTTGCAAGCTGAAGTATTATAACATTTTGAGCACTTTGATTCTTTGCTAAGAAAGTTTGGACCTCGTCTACGTATGACTCCCACAAAGTGCATTCAAGTTTCTGACCCCTATCATGATATAGAAACAAAAGACACATAAGAAATGATGTAAAATCCCATTCTCTTTAATTTCAAAAACACATAAGAAATTACATTACAATACTATCAGAAATATAGATAACATAAATACCTCAGGTTGTCAAGCTCCACGACAACCATTTTTGTATTCCTACCAGAGATGACATGTCCACGTACTTCCCCAATTTCAGACAGCAAACCAATGACGTCTACACAACAAATAACATGGGTTTCAGCCTTACGTCCTATATACAAAATCTTAATTGAAAGCGAATAACACAATACATCAATCCCATCACCTATTAAATAAGGAGAGTCAGAGGATTCTTTCTCAATAACGTCAAACTCAGCAAAATCAAAACCACGCTCAGGAATCGTAGCATCAATAATGGATTTCACGTCCGTCCTTAAGTTGAAAGGCAGACGATATTCATGCCGTGTTGGCCTGAAATTACCCGTATTCAACCCAACTCCAAATTTTTTTATAAAATAAGCATCACCCTCACGAATTTTCTTTCGAACCTGCAAAGTACCCTTGGCCGTAGCATGGATCCTTACACCCTATAAAATGAAAACACACAACAAAGCAAAAAAAAAAAAAACCGACAATGAGCTACTGAAAAGATAAAAACATTGAAAAAAAGAAAAAATACATTACCTGTTCGTCGACCAAAACCATATCCACATTGTCATCAAAATCTTTTTGATTAAAATTGGGAACCTTCCAACACCTAACTACACGCACTTTAATCCTCCACTCTTCTTTCGTCGGATTAAGATCCTTTACGAAGTCGTATTTTGAGGACATTGAATACATTGGAGGAGTAGAGAAATGGACCAAAAAAGATACAAAATGCTCGTGGCAGTGATGCAGACCAAAAGGCAAAAGCAACACCAAATATCGTCTTTATACATGCAATGAATACATAGAAAATTTCAAAACATTTTAACCATTATGATCTTAATGAGTCAGCTGATTTAAAAATTTGAATTTTGAAATGAAATCACTCACCTGTTTTAATGATTCAGCTATTTTTACATTAAAACGGAAAGAATCCTCTAGTGTGAACAGAAATTTAAACATACATATTTTGTTCACTATATCGAAAAGTAGTAAGTTTTCAAGACATCCTCTAGTGTGAACAGAAAGCTGAGATTTAAGGAGAATGTGACACCTCAGCTAATTTTCGAAAGTTTTTTTTACATTAAAACGGAAAGAATCCTCTAGTGTGAACAGAAATTCAAACATACATATTTTGTTCACTATATCGAAAAGAAGTAAGTTTTCAAGACATCCTCTAGTGTGAACAGAAAGCTGAGATTTAAGGAGAATGCGACACCTCAGCTAATTTTCAAAAGTTTTTTTTACATTAAGATGGAAAGAATCCTCTAGTGTGAACATAAATTCAAACATACATATTTTGTTCACTATATCAAAAATAAGTAAGTTTTCAAGACATCCTCTAGCGTGAACAGAAAGCTGAGATTTAAGGAGAATGCGACACCTCAGCTAATTTTCAAAAGTTTTTTTACATTAAAACGGAAAGAATCCTCTAGTGTGAACAGAAATTCAAACATACATATTTTGTTCACTACATGGAAAAAAAGTAAGTTTTCAAGACATCCTCTAGTGTGAACAGAAAGCTGAGATTTAAGGAGAATGCAACACCTCAGTTAATTTTCAAAAGTTTGGTTCTCGTTTCTATATAGTAAGATTCATTTTTCAGATACACATCTTTCATATCCAACCTACATAAGAACTGCAAGTAACATTGCCCAAAAGAAATGAATATCTGTACCATATTAAAATTAAAAAAGGAATATTTTTATGATCAAAAAGGAAGAAAAAAACACAAAAAAGATTGAATATTCCTGTGACTTTGGAGATGAATATGCCGACTACGCTATGGGTCACACTAGCATTATTTGTGAGGCTATCGATAGCCATGAACTACTTTGTGGTGATTGCTAGATCTCGAGGCGTCTCGCTTTGTCTGTTTCTATTTTCCAACTGTCAAAATTCATTAGTAAGCCAATATTAATTATTCTATTGTTTCTTTTTCACATAACAATTTTGTGAGGATAATTGTAAGCATATCACTTAATTAACTACTCACGCACATATGATACATATAAAATATTATATTAATTGCAATCACTAAGTGACACCTAATTATATTAAAAGAAAATGGGGAAAATGGTGGAGCAAGGGCGGACCTACATGGAGGCGTGCATGGGCGGCCGCTCCCCTTTAAAATCTGAAAAAAAATCTCTACATCTCCAAAAAAATACATAGTATATTTCAATTTTCATAACTGGTGGATTACTTTAGCAAAACTAGTATTGTGTGCCTTTTGCATCTGAAATGAGTTGCATTGATTTCATCTTGTTGATGATCGGTACAGTCTTTTTGGTCAAAGCTTTCGACTTCACTTTCTGAGTCTCCTTCTTTTGCTTCATTTGATACCCAAAATCTGTTAGCATAAGAAAGAAGCTTGATACCCATTTTCCTGTTGTAAGTATTTTCACTTTCTTTGTAAAGTTTTGATATTTTTGTAGTTTCATGTTGTTCGAATGCTCAAAAATTAACAGAAAGTGAAAGAAAAAAATGGGTATAAAATAATTATAGTTTGCAATAATTTTTGGAATTTATTTGTTTAGTTTTATGGTGCTTGATAACTGAAGTATATGGGTGTGTAGTGATGTGGGCATTATGGAACTTTATGATGTTAGTTTTAGGTGCTCGCCTAATTTGGGTTCTACGAGCTTTCCCCTTTTTGGAATTATTTTAGTTATGTGATTATATTTGTTATTAAAATTATTTAATGGATGCATCTCTTGAGACCTACATGTTTTTTGGTTTAAGACTATGATTCTTCTACTTTTCATTGTTGACATGGCACATGACAATGAAGTAATTTATGTTAAATTCGTCAATTTAGTATACTTGTTAAATTATATTTTATTTAAAATTCTGTAAGTTAGATTTGTTAAATTTTCATCCTCTTCGTATAATTTTCTGAGTCCGCCGGTGTGGTGGAGCTAGATTCTTCTAGGTCCTTACGTCTATTTGTAACAGTTAAAGTGCAAATTCTTCATCTGAAAAAATGAGCAAGCTTTTCGGATTCACTAGGGAAAATGAAAGGATCATGACAAGTTCACATCTCCAACGTCTCTGCAATGGAAAGGTCAAAATGTGCCAAATCAAATTGACCATAATCAAAACTCGACAAATTACTAGAGCAACATCACACCTTAATAGATGACATGTGGCATAACAAACCGACAAAGTTGCAAAGCACCGAACACGTATCCAGCGTTATCTAGGCTCAGCAAAAGTTTGTAACTTATCCTCAATTTCGTTCTGGCTAGTAAATATTGTTTACTTCACTACTGGTCCGTGTTGTGCCAAGGATAGTAGCGACAAGCTCTATCCACATGCACATGCAGCTAAAAGACATGACATATTGGGCCACGGTGAAGTCATGGATTTGGATCCTTTCATATAGAAAAGTGATCATCTAGTTATGTTATTTGATCACAATTATTCATTGATAATGACATAAAGGAAAGAAAAGTATATAATTATTAAATGAGTGATTGTGATCAAATAACATGATTATATACATGCAGTGACATAGCCACATTGGAACCAGCAAGTGCCTTGGAACTGGCTGCTTTTTAAAATCAGAAGTTTTTTTTATCCGCTGATTTTGACATTAGCTTCCTCCATATGTAGTGTAAATGATTTGCTTCCTCTATAACTACTGATTTTGACATTAGCTTTCTCCATGATTGACTGATTTTTAGCACCAGCTTTCTAATTTTTTCTGGCTTTGCCACTGATCACATTCATTTTTCACATGAGAAGATCCAAATCCATTTTAAGATGGTTAATTGTGTGTTCTTTTTAAATTTTTACACTACATATTACTGATAATATATAGTTATAATATGAAGAAAAAAAATTCTTTCCACATCAACTAAAGTGACTAAGGAGAGAAAAATTTTTTCCTTTATGTTATAGTTATATACTACCCGTAATAAATAATATTAAAATTTAAAAAGACATAACTTGTTAGGATTTTATAAGAATTATGTTGTAGGAAAAGTGATTGTGTTATGTTATAGAGATTCGTTTTGAGTGCCGAAGTTTTTTTCTTTTTTTGCTGCGGGCCCCACAAAATGTGTGTATATGAAACTTTTTGTGGTCATGTTAAATGATAGATGATAAACCCAACTTATTATAGGACAAACTTTTTTCCTTTTAAATTATATTCAGAGTTTAAGAAAAATAATATAAGGTCACCTATTGTTTATATTATTCTTTACATAAAAAAGTTGGTAAGTTTTGCAAATCTATTTACATATTAATCATTATTGTATTTTCTTGTAATTTTAAATTTCTCGTCTTCTCACATAATTTTTTTTTACTCCGCCATTTATTTATCATATGATAAAATGGGTAATTGCACAGCATATTTTGGTGGCCACAAAAGGGAATCCATACGTGGCAGATCCATTAGCGCACTATGCCTTTTTATCTGACTCTATATAATCCTCCAATCATCCATCATCCCTTACCTTTGATCTACACTCTACAACCTAATACAAACAGCTCATTTTTCTCTATTTTTGAGCTTCATTTCAAGCACCATAAATTTTCCTTTAGTTTTCATCATGCTAGAAGGCAAGGCTGTGATTGGTGAGACTGACATGCTTCAAACTATGCAGCAAGATGCCCTGGATTTAGCATCCAAAGCTCTTGATTTCTTTGATGTCACTGAGGCCATTGAGATTGCCCGATTTATCAAAAAGGTAAAAAATAAACAAAAAAATTCTATAGTATTTAGAGTGAAATAAGTAACAGAAATGAAGTTCCTTAGGTGAATCTTCTTTTGTAATTTTTTTTTTTCGTGTGTTTTTATTGCAGGAATTTGATAGGATGCATGGACCTGGTTGGCAATGCATTGTAGGTACTGATTTTGGTTCATTTGTGACACACTGCTTTGGATGCTTCATTTATTTTTGTATAGGTAGCATGGCCATTTTGCTCTTTAGAGGCTCTGCTGCTCCAGAGGCAGAGGAAAATCAGTTCTCAGCAATAGAAGCAGCCAAAGCATAACTTAATTTCCTAATTTCCCCTCTAATTAGACTCTTTATGTATGTATCTTTGTTTATTGTGTGTAATATAGTGCAGAAATATGTCATGGCCTCAAAATAATAGTGTAGTAATAATTGCTAGATGTCTCATAATCTCATTGTATATCAGCTTGCTCTTGGGGATATAAATAGCAGCCCAGGCCACAATTAATAGTTAATTTTGATCAAAAAGGAGTAGAAAATATCACAATAGTGAAGCCTTTTTTTTGGGGTCTTTTTAATAAAATGTTCAATATCTTAACCGTAAGATTTGAAGAATTACTCATTGAGCGAAATTCAGATATTTGATTTGGAGTAAAAAATGTTAATGTTAGGACTGCTTTAATCACAGATACACGATCGTAAATAGAAAGAGAAGGAGGGAAAAAAAGTGGGAGAAACTGTTTATCCTGGTTCCTCTAAGATAGGGTTATGTCTTGTAAGTTTGTCATTATATTTTTATCGCAGCACTTGTTATAACGCACTTGTTATAACGCACTCAATCACAAGAGAATATAAATAAGTTTAGAAAATTTTAAACCGCAACAACTATTTATGAGTCCAAACTCAAATTATTAAAAAAAATTTATAAAATAATTCGTATTGAAAAGATATAATATAAAATTATTGATAAGTCTTCACTTAATAGCTTGAACTGTTAGGTGATATGATTATTTATCATGATAATAAAACCTTCATGATCATAGGATACAAATTCGATCTTCATCGCTTTCATTTTATAGTGAAATTAAGTTAGCATAGAGCATTGTCTACGTGTTAAGCCCAACACATTTTTGCATGAAAGGATTGAGTTGTTACACTACCATAAAAGCATAGATCACCTTTTTCGTTGATAATGCTGATAAGTTTGTCGAATCATGTTTTTCAATGAACCGTCAAGGATTATTTTGACAGGAAATATAGTTTCGTTGAGTTATTTATCATGGTATTAAACTTCTCTGAACACGAGGTACTAGTTCGATCTTCAGAACCTTATTTTCTAATCGAATTAAGTTAGCACATATACAAGCCTGATAAACCTTATTTTCTAGTCGAATTAAGTTAGCACATATACAAGCCGATATATTGTCTACACATCAAGCATAAATAATTCTTGTACAAGAGAATATATTAAAAAAATAAAATATAAAATAATTTATGAGCTTCACTTAATAACTTGAGTTGTTTTTCAATAAAAATTCCGACCAGCCCCATCTCCATCGAAGATTTCATAGTCGAAAGGATTATTTTGAAATGAAAATATAGTTTGGTCGAAATTACCAACCAAAGTATTTTGGTCGATATTTATGAACGTCAAAAATTAGAGGAACGAATAGGATGTAGGAGGTATTAGCAATTATCGATGGAGGTATTAGCAATATTCCGTCGAAATGTATGGGTTTAATATTTCAGCGGACATCAAATTCGGTGGGTAAAATTCTGTTGCGTTTCCATCGTTTTTTAGAAATCGTTTTAGATGGACGGGGTGGCAATTTGAGTTGGCCCGTCCCGACTTGCCCCATCCCGACTTGCCCCATCCTGTCTCGCCACCAACTCACTAAAAATGGGGCGAGGGAGGTTGGACCGTCATTAAATATGAGTTGAAAAAATGAATCCATCTCATTTTATGGTGGGTTAGCAAGTTGTGGATCAATCCACCAACTCGCCAATTAAAAAAATAATAATTAAAATTCAAAAATAAATTATGTTTTATGAATTTTTCTAATATTATTTTATTTTATTTCACATTTCTCTTAAGTTTTTTCAGTCTCAATCTTAAATATATACTAATATTTGTCAGACATGTTGGGCTTCCTTCTTCAATGCTAAGTCCAAGCCCATTGAGGGGTTTTCCTAAAAACCCTAACCCTAGATCTCACCTCCTCTATATATTCATTAGTTGTGGGTGGATGTTAGGTTAAGAGATTAGAGAGAAATTTTGAGAGATAATTATTTGATTGTTCGAGCAAAGCTTCATGCTTTGCATTTGAGAGATCTCTAGAGAGAGTTTGAGTGAAACATCTCTAAGGTAGTTTGATTATCACCATTGTTGGAGAGGTTGAGTTAACCACCACATTGGTGTATTCTGATTATTTTGTAACCATTATTTTCATAGTGAATTTTTGATCTGGACTAGGTCCCGTGGATTTTTACTTCTTCATTGAAGAAGGTTTTCCCACGTTAAATCTGGTTGTGTTCTTCTTCTTCTTCTTCTCTCTCTCTTTTTCCTGTTTTGTGATTTTTCGTTTTGATTTTTCCGCTATGCTGCCTGACCTGGTGAAGTTCAGGCCGAGGTATTGCCGAGATCCGAGATCAGGATCTTGTTGATTGACTTCCGCACAAAGGCTGCTTAGCCGAGCTTGAGGGAACCGAGTTTTTCCAACAGTGGTATCAGAGCCCGAGTTCGACGGGTTCTGAGGGAGACGAGATGGAGACCAGTGGCATAACCAATGATGGAGACATGTTCAAGTTGACCGCAGATAATTTCACCTATTGGAGACCGATGATGGAAGATCATCTGTACTGCAAAGATTTACATGAGCCCATTATCCTTGATGAGAGACCGGCAGGCAAAACTGATAAGGAGTGGGAGATCCTGAGTCGAAAGGCGATAGCCACGATCAGGAAATATATTGATAAAAGCCTCTTTAAGCACGTGTCCGAGTTCACGAACGCGTATGAGTTGTGGACGAAACTGGAGTCCATGATTCAGAAGAAGACTCCCAGGAATAAAGCATACCTGGTTCGCCGACTTGTGAAGCTTGAATACAAGGACGACATGAGCATGATTGAACACCTCAACACCTATAAAGGTATTGTGAATCAGCTGTCAAAAGCTGAGATGAAAATTGATGATGAGATGCAGGCTTTGCTGCTGTTGAGCTCGCTGCCAGAAAGCTGGGATTCTCTGGTGGTGACTTTGAGTAATTCAGCTTCAGAAGGAAAGTTGAAGTTGGATGTCGTGACAGACAGCCTCCTGAGCGAAGAAGTCAGGAGAAGAGAACGAGGTGTTTCGAGCACGTCTGAGGCCAACGTTGCTGAAAACAAAGGGAAATCCGACTCCCGGGGTAGAAGCAAAAGCAGGGGCAGAGGTCGTGACAGACGAGAAAAGTCCAGAGGTCGGTCAAAGCCGAAATATGAGTTGAAGTGCTTTTACTGTAGAAAGACAGGTCATAAGAAGCCAGACTGCTGGACCCTGCAGAATGATGAGAAGAACGACTCTGTGAAGCTGGATCATATTGTTGCCAAGAAGAGGGAAGACAAGAGCACCACTGTGGTGGCTGCCAACCCGGATGCCGAGATATTCCTCCTTGGTGAGGATAATTATTTGAATGTTGCATATGATGACTGCACCTGGATTGTTGACTCCGGTGCCTCCTTCCACGTTACTCCACACAAAGGTTTTTTCTCCTCTTATCGAGGTGGTGATTTTGGAGTCGTGAAGATGGGAAATCAAGTGACCAGCAAGATTGTTGGTGTCGGTGATGTAACTCTGACCACAGATGTCGGATGCCGACTTGTATTGAAAGATGTGAGGCATGTACCTGACATGCGATTAAACCTAATCTCGGTAGGCAAACTTGATGATGCTGGGTTAGTGAACTACTTCGGTAGTGTTAGATGGAAGCTGGCCAAGGGAAACTTGGTCGTGGCCTGAGGTAAGAAGGAAGGCTCCTTGTACGTGATGCAAGAAAAGATCAATGGCGGAGAAGCCAATTCTGTCCGTGATGAACCTAGCTTGGAGCTATGGCACAAGCGCCTCGGCCACATGAGCGAGAAAGGGCTCCAGATCCTGAACAAGAAAGGATTATTGACCGGGTTGAAAGGCCAAGCGTTGGAGAGTTGCACGCATTGCCTAGCTGGAAAGCAGCACCGGGTTTCTTTTGTGAGATCGGATCAACCCAGATGACGCAGGTATATTCTTGACCTCGTCCATACTGATGTCTGCTCCATGTCGGAAAGATCCCTTAGAGGAGCTCAATACTTTGTTTCATTCATTGATGACCATTCTCGCAAAGTGTGGGTATATTTGTTGAAGTCTAAAGACCATGTACTCCAATCCTTTAAAGAATTCCATGCTATGGTTGAAAGGGAGACTGGCAAGAAATTGAAGGTGGTCCGATCTGATAATAGTGGTGAGTATTGCGGCCCATTTGATGCATACTGCAGAGAGGACGGGATTCGCCTTGAGAAGACACCTCCCAAGACACCTCAGTTGAATGGACTGGCTGAGCGGATGAACAGAACTATTGAAGAGAAGGTTTAAAGCATGTTACCAATGCTGGATTGCCGAAATCAATCTGGGGAGAAGCCGTCAAAACAGCTGTTGACTTGATCAACCTCTTACCATCACGGCCACTTGAAGGAGAAATTCCAGAAGAAGTCTGGACAGGTCGGAAAGCGGCCTATAATCAATTGAAAGTGTTTGGATGCCGAGCTTTCATGCATATCCCTAAAGATGAAAGGGCTAAACTTGATGCAAATACCAAAGAATGCATTTATCTTGGTTCGTCGAGATGTGAGTTCGGGTTCCGACTTTGGGATCCAATCAATAAGAAGTTCGTGAGAAGCCGAGATGTGATCTTTCATGAGCATGAGAACATTCATGACATCTCGAAGCCCAAAGTCCGGGTTACTGTCAGACGTGAAGAACCCATCACTCTTGTCCAAGCTAAAGCAGGGGGAGAAAATCAAGAAAATGATGATCAGCAACAAGCTGAAGATGACCAAGACACTGAGGTCCGAGTTGATGATGAGATCCGGGATGAGAATGATGAACTGGGTCCTCAAGCTGAAGAATAGTCGAGATATCCAACTCGAGAAAGAAGACCCTCTACGAGATACCCATCTGATGAATACACTGTTGTTGCTGAAGACGGTGAGCCTCAGAGTTATGATGAGGCTGTGACAAGCTCAGAGAAAGAAGAATGGAAAAAGGCAATGCAAGACGAGATGAAGTCTCTGCACGAGAATCAGACTTATGAGCTGACCGAGTTGCCTAAAGGAAGACGAGCTCTGAAAAACAAATGGGTCTACAAGATTAAGAATGAAGAGAACGGGCAAAACCCGAGATACAAAGCCCGGATTGTAGTGAAAGGCTGCAATCAGAAGAAAGGAGTAGATTTTGAGGAGATTTTTTCTCCTGTGGTGAAAATGACCTCGGTCCGAACCGTATTAGCCATGGCGGCTTC